TACTTCATCAAGTAAATGTTTCCATTAGATTTTGTAAAGTTTGCATGACGTGCGCACATGCAATTTCTCTGGAAAAATATCTCTGAATAATTTATTTTCTATATACAATGCCGTACAAAACTCGAAATTAAGAGTGCTTAAAAATATAAAAACATTGTTTTTTTTTTCAAAAATAACTTTTAATATTTTTTTTAAATTTACATAAAGTAAAAATATAATAGAAAATAAATATGAATAATAATTTTCCTTTCTGATTTAACTAGATTTAAGTCGCGCATAAACATGATACTTATAAAACTTTTATTTTTATTACTTTTGTCTTTGTTTTTATATTTTTTGCATTTCTTTTCATTTCATCAAATTTATGTTTTTTTAAAAATTATTTTCTATTTTTTAAACGGTACGATATTTTTCATTTCAAATTATCTACAGATCCATATTTTTAAAAAATGCTTATATTGATTATTAATCAAGTTTAATAGTTATTAAACAAGCGTTAAGAGCTATGATTCGCGTCGCATGTATTTACGTAAAAAGAGAAAACGTTTTATAGTAACCCGTCTCATAATTGATAATTGATTTCTATGGGGGTACGGGTAGCATGTATAATTTATTGTTCTACGCCTTGCCGAAGAACTTGGCAGCGTTTCAGGTTGCTGGAAAGTTAACCGAGGTCGCGCAGATGTATCGACATCTACTATCCCGGCTGCGATCGCGTTGATAAATTGCACGTTATTATTTTCGCGCGAGTTGCACGTGCTTACCGATCTAACGACGTTCATATAAATATTAATAGCTCTGTTTACTAGAAGTCACAAACGCGTCATTATCAAGCTGGAACGAGCGAATTAAATTATATGTGCTTACTCCACTTTTTATGGATTAACTTATAGAAATTAATACATTAAAATTACCTGATATATATCGAATTTCTGAATCTTATTTATTTTCTCCTTTATGTCATATCCTATTTATTCTTCGATAAAACGATTTGTTTTCTCTGCTTCTATATTCTAGTGATTACAATTATCGCAAAACGCGGCAGCGCGTCACGTGTTAAAATTCAAATTCGTAGAAACAATATTGTTCGACGAGGCAATCGCAAAATTATCCATCCCGCGTATTAGACCGCATGCGCAATGATAAGCAAGGCAGAAATAATTTAATCAAAATCGCACGCGTAGCACCGTGATGCATCGATGCAGAATCGCATTCTGCGCGTTGACAGATATTTCGACCGACAGCGAGTTACATCGTATATTCAGATTATCTATAGGGATTCTCTTTCGGACGAAACTCTCTCAAAGACGCACGTACTTCTCTCTATCGCAACTAATTACGCATAATGCGCCCGCAAGCTTTGTTATTAAACACTTCAAAACTCGTTACTAAAATATCGCGGGCTACGCGCACATGAGTTGTTACAAGATCGTGCATTGTACGCGCCATCTTGCACTTTAATCTCCGCGCCAACGTTATCCTTCTCGTAATATTGTTCTGATCAAAAGTCTTCCTGAGGGAAGTCGAAGTTGAAATGCAAAGGGAGATATATATATTACTCGCGTCTTTGCCCACGTTTCTGCGCACACGCGGTACTATTATTATGTATAACTATTCTCAGACCTGTGGCCGGGGGTAAATGCGTATTCCGCGTATATACGATGGCTTTCCTGTAACTTCCACAATTTAACTCGCGGATATTGCGGTATATCACGTAGTAACGAAGTCCTCTGATAAGTACCGCGGAGATTACGCGGACTTACGTTTCCGCGCCGTGTCCCACAAGACATTTCTCGACAATCCTTTCGCGCTGCGTGAAATTTTGGTCGCGCAAGAAGAGATCGCGGACAGAAAGAATCGCGATGCGGAAAATCGTTTCTGTCTGCAAGTCGGTCTAAACTAATTACGACTTCAGTTCAGGTCGCCGACTCTAAAACTTTTTCCATTTATGTGTCTCCCGCGATTAACATTACATTTTATATTCAAGAAATACACAGAACAATCGTAATACTAAGAGGGGCGACGCTGAAAGAGTTCAGGCGTTCACCCAAAACCTTTGAAAGGCCACAAACGTTTGTCCCAAATACACTCGCCGCGATTTACTTCCAATAATTGCGATATTACTTCCGATAACTGCGGTATTATTTCTGATAAGTTCCGCATGGAAATCAAAGTACGGGAGAGAGAGAGAGAGAGAGAGAGAGAGAGAAAGATATTACCCAACGTATAACAGTTCGCGCAATCTCAAACAACGTGCAGTCTCTTGACGTGCATATCTCAGGAGTGCTCGCGTGCTGCGACGAGACATGCGGACGTGAGGAACGTATATACGATGGAAAGAGAAAACACACTTTAGCGGGTAACCCAGGCAGGGATTTGCATGGGACAATATCTCGACTGATTTATCCCCCTGAGTCCGAGAAGGTGGAAAAGGGTAGACGTGTCCGAAGGATTTATTTCTTCGGCGTTCTGCGCAGCGAGCCGCGCATCGTCGAGAAATAAAGAGGAGCCGACCCTTTTCCTCCCCGTTGCCCGTCCCGCTCCATCCTTCTCGACAAGAATATCCGGTTTATTGCCGCTTGTACGCAGGGACGCGCGATCAAGAGTGCTGCGCGCTGAGCGGAGCGCATCGACGCGACGCAATACGACCGACGACGCGCGTTTACAGCCTTTACCGTTTAGTTTATCGGCAGAACACTCTTCTCCCGACTTGTCCTCGAACCCCCGATGGGATTTACAGCCCGGTCCGTAAAGTCAGATTACACTTACTCTGCGTTTCACTCTCGTGACTTTTCCCTCGCCTCGCGCGCGAGATGTCGCAATCGAGATATCGTACGACTTGCGTTCGTCCAACTGTAGTCGTCGTCTCCCGACGACAACGTTCCCCGCGATGCCGTTGTCAACGTGTACTCGTTCCGCGGCAATCTCGGTGAAACGTCGTAAAAAGGAAAAAAAAGTCAACGCCCCGTCACGCTCATAGTTGCCACTTCGTTTTAAAAATGTATTTCTGTCCGTTACGACAATTTAAATGACGTTACCCGGAAAGCCATTTTGACGCAATAAAACGAGACTATTGTTGGCTTTTGTAAAGACTCACTCCCTCCTCTCTCCCCTCATGTATTTTCAGTGGACAATATAACTGCCGACAAAAGATCCATGTCAGAGAGATGAATTCCGACTGTTATTTCTAAGCTCCCATAGGTACGCACGTTGTACGCGATTTTGCGAACGCGTCCGAGGTCAATGCGATAACTATCTGGACGAGGGCGATGAATCAGCCGAATTAAATGACCAGGCCTTTCAGGGCTCTGTAATTTCGTTCTTGCCCCATTTACGTTGGATCCGAAGAAAAGTCTGATAATATAGGGACGAGCAACGCAGAAAGGGAGACAATGGGGAAGTTGACAAATACAACGTTACGCAGATGTTCGATTAACGCTCCTTATTAATAAGTCGCCTGTCGGATACCCCCCGATTTAATCGACTTGTTCGACGAGGGAAATTCGGGGATATATTACATCCCATAATTCCGACAGGATGATTTATTCGTGCGCGATTTAATCAAAGTTATGATCATTCCCCAATGTTTTTCAACCATCACGTCGTACTTATTAGTTCTCAAATGAAGCCGCGGACCTAATTTCGATGACTCCGCGCACAAACGTGAGAGGGCATGAGGGAACGGTAGAGTTAGTTGGAGACTTCATAGTTTGTCGTTAGATGCGAGTATATATATAGTTTGCTTGACGAGAGTTTCATTCCGGCAAGTTCTCGCTCGGCTTTCCCCGCAGTAATTACTTGTAAATCTCTTACGAATAACGGCAAACGCGAGATTAATTCCGTCTACGAGGATGCGTAATAATTGATGTTCTTACAACTACTAGAAAGTTAAATTGTTAAAATTGCTAAACTTGTGTAATGAATCTTTTTCTCTCTCATATTGTAGTTATTGAATCCTCCCTTCTTAAAATAAATTGAAATTTTTATTCCTCTAAGATTCTTGTATGATTCGAATTACGTAATTTACAAACACATGTTTCGCTCAAAGGAATATGCAAGATTCGTAAAATAAACCAGAAGTAAATCAGATTGCACTCTGCAATCGAGCGAGCTAAGAGAAAATCGATGACGCGCAGTCGAGCGATTTAATTTCGCTTCTTATGATTCTACCGCTTGCTTCTACTGCAGAAAATTTCAATTTATTTCGCCGATTCTGCGTCGGGATCGAATGTACGTCTAAACTTTCTCGTCATGTACGCGCACACACATTTTATGCTGATGTATTATTTATTCAGACACGATAGAAATTGTTTCTCTTTAACGTCTCTTCAAGCGATTCACAATTTCCTTGAGTAATATTGAAAATGTTTCGCCAAGAACTTGATTAAAATGCGCACAAAGTTGTTGGAATTAATTAATTGACTTTATACTTCCGCGTTTCTGGCGAAGCTTATGAAAACCTTTGTTAAATTTAACGGCAAATATCGCAATTGATTATATGTTACTCTTTCATATCTTGTAATCGATGTATAAATAAATTTTAAGAAATTATCAACTTATATCCACAGCTATAAAATTGTTGATAATTTATTCTATGATACTGACATTTATACTTTTAAATCAGAAAATGATAATTTGCCGAAAATATCGGATGAGTAATATAAAATGTTTTATAGAGAAACATTAATATTCTTATAAATATCGCTTGACGTTTGAATATCTCTCTCGTGCAATTGTAACGTTTACATTTGCATTTTCTGAGAGCTGCCAATATTTATATGACTGTTTAAAATTTTTATTTGAAATATCAACATCCCGGAAATACCCGAAAATATCCGAAAATATCCGAAAATATCCAAAAGACCAATAAAATATAGATCAGTATGTCGATATTATTGCAAAAAATATACGGAGAATAATCGCGTCATTTCGGATAATTATAAATTTATTCGGCAAATAATTATTCGATAAATATTTCGATGATTTCATACAAGACTCACCCACCATTGAGCACGTGGACGAGGACGCTGGCTGACTCGGCTGTGGATGGCGCACAGGTGTAATTGCCGGAATCGGCTGGCAACGCTTTGCTGATCAGAAGACGTGACGTTCGTGTTTGTTTCTCGGTCACGACACTAATGCCTCCGCGTTGACTGTAATTTATCACATTGTCGCCCTTGTACCTGTAAAATTGCGAATAATTGGAGCTGTTAGTATTAGTATAGCATAGAATATAAAATAAAATAAATCTTAAAACAGCTGTTTTTGAACATGCTTGTTTTTATTACCAAGTTATCAAATATAAAGTATATATGAGTAAATTGCACGGATATCGCGATGTAAGTGTTTTTAGATTAGCAAATGTAAAAAGACACGAGAGGATTTATGAGAATCAATGCATTTGCGAGAGATCTGATAGTTTAAAAATCATAACTTCAAGGAGCGTAACTCCGTCGAAGATTCACTTTATCCGAGATTCGTTTTACCGAGCATCCATGTTGAAATTTTTCGATAAAGTAAATTCCATCGAATGGGGGTCACTGTAAACTTGGATTTCGCAAAACTCGGCCGTGTCGAAATATACGTGGAACAAATTCAATCGCGCTATCGTCAAGGAAGGAACGTTCGAACTCACCAATAGATGAAGGATGGTGGTTCCGGCGTTTGCAGTACGATGCAGGTCAGATTGATGTCGCTCCCGCTTTTGATGTAGAGCTCTGAATTGCCGTTGATCTTTGCCTTCGAGACTGCACACGGGAATAGAACAAAGTTAAAGTGGTTTTTGGCCAAAGTACGCTCGGCCGAATCGACGAGTAAAGCCCGAACCAAAAAGTATGATCACAAATTTTCCTTAAACTGTCGCAAAGCTGCAATTAACTTGCGTCGAGAACGGCCGCTTAAAAATTCACTTAGGAAATAAACTTCGAAAACTAGCGTTGGAGCGCAGTATGAAACTTGTGTAATTGCTTTAAAACACAATCCCGACATCTATCTTTATGAGCTTTTTATTTTTTATCAACGAAAATTACGCGAACATAAAATATTAGGAAATTACTTTTAATATTTTTAAATAATTTATACATATAAAGTTATGCGATCTCGATTGTATAATTTATTTCACAACTTTTTACTTTTTTTAAAAAAAAGAGACGTGTACGTACCTACTACGCTCAAGTTAAAAGCTTGACTAATCTTGGGCTCTGTCGAAACTTGACACTCATAGATCCCGCTATCTCGCACTTGCGGCGAACTGATCTTCAGAGTCCACTCGTCGCTACCATCGCTATGTAACGATTGAAAACGTTGGTCGTTTGTGTACGTTAGAATGCCGACAGTAAGGATATGTAAATCCCGCTGCCTGATCCATGAGACCTGTGCAATCAAGAAACACCTGCTGTTGCAGCAAGATACACCAAAGAGACATGGAGTCAGAAAGTTTGACAAGTTGCCTGACGCAACTCACATCTCACGTTTCTAACGTACATTTCACAAACTTGCAACAATACCGAAACAGAAAAGATCTCTCTTGCTAAATTGCATAATTCGTCCTATATGAATGAAAAGAAGATTTAAAAAATTTTAAATTCTTAATCGCGAAATTTTCAATTATCTAAATGATATCGTGCACACGTGAATGCAACTAAATTACACGTATGGAAAGGAAACCTTTGACTGATAGCGATTGTTATGCGACAATCCATAATTTGCGCGTGAAGTTAACCTCAGGCGAAACGCGATCGCAACGGTGTAATCTGCGTCGATCACGTTGATTTTACCATCGCAGATATAAGCGTTCATACGCGTGTACGTGCATAGGTGCACGCGTTATTGAGGACCGATGGCTGTGAATGGCGAACGGAATAGGCGCGGGGGAGTTAAAAGGGGCTCCGTTGGGAGAGAGGGAAGGAGAGGGGATGAGGATGGGAGAGAAATTTGATTTATCGGCGATTACGATCGGTGATTGGACTCTGACGGGTTCCTGTGCGTCATGCGGTGATGCATGAGCAGCGGCCGATAACGCGTAATGTCACCATTCGCCCGAGTGACCTATGCGCCTACCCGCGAAATTACTTTGCATTAGGATGGCGAGTGATGAATACCGGGTTAAACAGTGGTCCGAACCATACGTTCATCTACCAAACTGTCCGAAAAAAAAAAAAATATATATATATATATGTGTGTGTGTGTGTGTGTGTGTGTGTGTGTGTGTGTATAGTCCCTGAGCGATTATGTACTTTTTATGTAGTATACTTCACTCCTTTTTGATCTTTTATAACGTTCGCTTATACACCACATTTTATCACTTTGTCCAAGTACGAACAATAGTCGGAAGTTAACAAAATACGAGCGGTGATGTTTACTTTATTTAAAAAAATTGGACGTTATTAAAGAAAAAAATATAAATTACTTTCCTCGCAAAAATTTGCTCTCTTTTGTTCTCTCGCAGCAATGTAATATTAAAAGCATCGTACAAAGAGGTAATTTTCTACCGTAGAATTTGATTGTATTCATTTAATAAATATTTAAAAACATCAAGTATAAACTTTTCTACTTTTTTTTTCTCGAATAAAATTTCGTTAAAAAATGACATTTTAAAGCGCGATGGTAGATCTGGTGCGATAGCCAGAAATACCTCGACATTAACGAGATCATATGTTAATGTCTCTCCCGTAACTTTCTAAATATGTGCAAGAAAGTGTATGCGCGTTGGACTGTGAAAAGTTATACTCATTCTGAAAGTTTGCATAGACGGGAAGGGAGAAGGAAGGGTTATAAGAAAAAAGATTGCGAAAAAGAGTTACAAAGGCCTCGGCGTGCAAAGATCTGAACTAGGTTATTGTAAAAGCGCGAGGTGACGTCGCATTACACGGATAAATGAAGAATGAACTCCGAACTACAAGTGCATTAGCAAAAAGAACAGCCAAGTTTGTCATAGAACGATCGCGAATTAATGTCTCGTCGGCAATTCATATAACTATTTGATTTCGGATAATCCAGTACGAAAATTTATCAACGTCAGCGAAGAATCGATCGCGATAGAATCTAGAAAAAAATACTTTGTGCGATATAAGAAGATTAATTGGAGATCTCGCGATAATTGAGTGATTTAATTTCACAATGACAAATTTGTTTGTGGTTGCTTCAGCCCCCTCGCAAGGACAAAATTTAACCGCGAGAATCTGTTGACGTATAATCAAGCGTTAAAGCGTTCACCGAGCTTTACATAATTTACCTAATAAGCGGATTAATCGGTTAATTGGTTTTTTTCAAAACCGTTGACACCATTGGCAAGATTATTGTCTGTCAAAAGTTTAAGCAAAATCATTTTACGGCATTTTGTGATCTTGTATTGTCAACTTGTACTTGTATGTTATCTTGTTTTTAATCCTTTCATGAGCAAGCGTTCATTAAACCCATGCATGAGTGGAATAGTAAAGAAGTAAATAATAATGACATAATAATATGATATTATCGTTGCAAGAATATAAATCAACTATAAAACGAATCTTTGAGAATAAAGTTCATTAAAAATCGAAAGTAACAAAAACAAACAATTTTCATGTTTTTACGAGATAAAACGCCGGAAAATACACACGTGAAAAAATATTACATTCATATAATTGAAAAATAATATAAAAATACTTTTCAAAGTCAAAATTGATAAAAATAATATCTTCTCAAGGGCATCGCGATATAAGTTGAATATCCCATGAGAATAATCTTCAAAATCGAAATCATTAGATGTTTGCAATGTTTAACAGACTCGCGATCATTGCAGCAAAATGCTAAGTTTCCGAACTTGGCACTGTTATTACAACGACGAGCTCTTGATAAGGAAACTTGAGACTTACCGCGCGATCGCCAAGATTGCGCACCCTACAGTGTAGGTAAGCGGATTGCCCGACGGTGGTTGTGGTCTCCCTCTTTGTCGTGTTGTCGAAGTAAGGTTGACTAAAGGGTTGCTCCCAGTAAGAGGACGGATGGTGCTCCACCACCGCTCTCCCGTTCTTGGCCGCGCATTCTGTCAAAAACAATAAGGTCCGTTAATGAGATTTATTTATCATCGCCATCAATAAAATAACGTCGCGCAACATTGGCGTTGAAGTAAAATTTAAAAGTCCTGAATAACCAAGTCTTTTAAAGATTGAAGAGAGCGAGAATTGAATAACAGAAGCTAATTAATTGAGCTAATTATTCGATATTAAATTTAAAAGAAAAAAGAATTCACATTATACTAAAATATCTTATAGTGAGAATTATTAAATTGTGTGTATAATTGAGAATAGATATCTTAATAGCATATCAATAATTGTGCAAAATTTGTGTCAATATCGATGCGATAATGCGATAAATAAATGGATAAACCGATAAAAGATATAGTACAAAAACAAAATTTTATCGACAAGTGACCGAAGCGTTATTAGCTCGCATAAAATCTCCCTTGTACCGCGCTTTCATAAGAAAATCGATTTTTCTCGCTCAACGGAAGAACGAGTTCTCATTACCGGGATAAGTTCGAGTTTATCCGGTTGAGTTTAAAGCTGAACCTGGACTGAGCCAGTACGAATACAGAAATTCAGATCCGGGACGCTGTTTGAGACGTCGATTGCCGCGAACGGACGAACGAACTCTAATAGAACACCCTTCGGGAATTCTACTTCGTTTCTGGTATATTAGGTGAAGGTACATCTTTGCGATGAGATTTCTGCCGGAACGAAAATCCGATCGATGCCTGGGAATTGCAAGATTTAGATAGACTGATCACATCGTTCATTAGAGAAGTTATGTAAACATAAAAAGAATATTCGTTCCTAATATCTTCCATGCAATTTTATCCTTGTGCAATTTTTTATCATTCCTTATGTCGGGCGTGAATAGTCTCTCGAAGCTAACATTTATTCCTGAAATATCGTATTTGAAATCGGATAAAAAACAAATTGAATGTCGAGGAGATTGAAATAACTGCAAAAAATAATGATAAGAATAGGATATAAAGAAGAATGCGGAAAGATATAATAAGAAATATTATTTGATATACCATACAATATCGTCATCTCATTAAAGATATTTAATAGACTTTGAGACGCGTTTTTTACAGCATCCTTTCGAGTGCGGCTGTTTTTCAAAGTAACGATCTGCCGGTGTGGCGTAAAATTCCTTGCAACAGTCCCTCATCAATTTTTTTCAGCCCACACCCTCATCTCTCTCCAACCGCTCGTCTCACTGATTACTTTATTCCGAGAAAACGATACTCTTGGTAACCGGCGACGTAAAAACCCGTCCGAGAAACCTTTTATGTACGTTATACGAGGTCTCTCTTAGCAAAGTGAGAAAATTTACGAAGGGATGCTACCGAAGAATTTGTATTCTAACGTTGATACTTTATAAACACGGTGGCTACGTCATAATGCCAGTCTTAATTATTAATCAAATATTTTATATTTAGATATATTGCGTAATGTAATCAATATTTTGACGAAGTAAAAATTAATTGTCAAAAGTTAATGACGGTTACTTTACCCCCAATATTAGAAATATTTGCCATTTTCAAGAAACGCTAGAAAAACGTTTTTCTTATCTTTTTTTAACGCGTAATAATTCCGCTTGTATCAGTATGTTTCGCGCAAAACGCAATCGATTGATACATTATACAAATTAACAATCGTAAATTTCTCCCATTTCAAAGCAAATTCGTTGGGAAATTCCCGAATGCGGAATCGAACCGCCGATATTCTCCTCCCTCGAAATACCGGAAAGTTGCACAATGCGGGGCAAAAAGCAACCGATTCCAATCGCAGGCTGTTAATCGGGTTTTTCGTCGGATTGCAGCCGGCACGATGAAAGTGGATGGCAAAAAACATTTAAAAACTATAGGACGGGTCGGAGCGAGTTCGGAAAGAATGAGTTTGTTAACCCCGACTGTGCTCTTCTTTCTCCACGGAAAGTTCGAGGCAAAGGAACTCTGGCAGGATGAGAAGCTTCAGGTGTTTGCTAATGGCCCGCGGCGCCAAAACCAATCATTCGTCGATGGCCGTCCCTCTCCGTTTGTTCAGTCGTACTTTTTATCAGTCTCGTCAATGCTCGATTTTCATTTCCATATTAACGTGAAGCTCGAAAGAAATCCGATGACGAACATCAATGGTCCAGATATTTTCACGTGTATCAGCGCGCATGCGTGTCGACCTACTTCGATTAACATATAGTACTACTGTTCAAAATAAGTCACGGACACACAGGAATTTAATTTAAAATACCACGTGGAATTTTACAATCTCGATTTATGCGCGCGTGCATAAAACAAATTAAATAAATTATTATTCATTAAATAATGGTTAACAATAAATACAGTTTCATATTAATTGTTACGAAAGAGTGACTTGATATATAGTGTAAAGTTAATTAAAAATTTAGATAAACAATTTCCACCTTGTTTTGTATAAAATACACTTCAGCTACAGTATAATTAAATCGTAGAAATGAAATTTTTTCTTTCTCGGACGGTTTTTCTTTGATTTTCGTTAGAGATGTAAAACCAAGTCACGGCAACTACGTCTCGTGCAGTGACTCAAATGCAAAAACTTGGGGTCTCCCAAAGTTACATTTCAACTATTTTCTTGTTATTCCATTTCCAACGAAACTGGTGCAGCTAGCACCCGCGAAAAGAAATCGAAGAAATGCAAAACTAAAGCTCAGTATACAAAGGACTCTCAATAGTTTCGATGTTTCGCTTAAAGAATTTTGCAATCGCTTCTCAAAGACGCTCAAGGTAGCGATATCGCAAAAATAAAGATAAACTTTTGCTAAAAAAAAAGAAAATCAGCGATCGTTACATATTTGCAAAGAAACGCGGTTTCCAAAGAGACGAAGAATGAGAAACAGAGAAAAGCGTTTATCGCGAGGTAGATTCGTTTGTTTAGTTCCTCAAGACAAACGCGACGTTCACTCGAATGTGTTTGTTAGCTACGCGGAAGCAATCCTTTCGAAGAGATTACGAAACGAGGAACGCGGAGAATGTCGTCGAGGCGTCTGCTTTTCGCGAAAGTAACGCAACACTCCTCGTTGAAATCCAAGTAGCTTATGTTCCCGGCCTCTCAGCTTGTTCAGTCGCGTGGAGAACTCGAACGAAGCTATGTGTCTTCGGATTCAGGACGTGTCTGCTCGAAAGACACGCGCGAAATTTTCCCCGCGAAAAAGATCCAGAAAAAGTCGAGAGAAAAGTTTCTATTTAAGGATGTGGCAAGGATTCGCCTCTGCTCACACTCACTCACGTTTTTCTAGACCAAACAAGATTCGCTGGTTTTGCCATTTTGCTTCTATAGAGTTATCTTCTGACCGGAAATATCCCAAAAGAGATGTGCAATCGAATAAACGTATGTAATAGTAATCCCGAAAAAACTATGAAATAAATATTTCACTCTATAAAAATAAAATCTTCTCGGTATAGTAATCTATTCGATGTATATTAAATTCATCATTCGCGTTGCAAGTTCATAAAACTCGCTCCATTTCACGATATTAATCCGGACGAGTTATTTAATAACATCGTGGTTGTGGAAAACCACTACGCTTTCGAAGACATCGATTAACTTTACCAATATAATGGCGTATCTATCGAATAAATGGAATACCAATTGTCATCATTAAAGCAAAAATCCAGTATATATTTTAACTTTACGCAATATATAACAATAATATTTCTATGAGGAAATAAAATAATTCAGACTTAAAAGAAATTAAAAAAAGTTAAAATAAACTAAGCTTCGATATTTTTAACATTATCATTAAATAATATCATTATTATATAAGGATTTAAAAATTCATAAAAAGGAGAGAAAAATTATTATAGCCCCACATAAATCTAGAAAATTATTTTTCATCGAAAAACGTCTTGTTTTGAGGCTAATAAGATAATAAAATATTGAATGTGGAACAAACACACATATTTCAATTAAAAATTAGAGAATATCGATAAAGTTTCGCGAATGTATCTCGCGGTAACACCCTGAAAATATCACCAAAGTATTCGTCGCAAGTATTGCGTGTAATACGAAACCTCTCGCTAAAATTTAAGTGGCTTATGTTCTGCCCTGCATGTCGTCTCGTTCCTTTTCCAACGCTACTCCCATATGTGTAAAAGCGGAGCTTTTCTTCCACCCACCGACAGGCAAGCACGTTTTTTCCTTCCCGTTTTTCTCATTTTATTACATCGACTTGCAATATCGGAAAATTACGTCGAGGTTGCAACGCATCTTCCCTCGAACGAAAGGTATTAAATATTGCGTCACACAATTACTTTTGCAAGCGCTGCGTGCAATCGACATTGGCGAGAGATAGCTTGTAATCGATCTCTTTTTGTTCCTTTAATGTATATAAAAGTAATTGTATGACGTAATATTTAATATCTTTTGTTTGAGCTTTTATACATATACACACAATATAACAGAGATTAAATTAAATTAAATTTAAGACAGAGATTATATTAAATTAAATTTAAGTTCTATTAAATTCTTTAAACAAACCGAATTATACTGCTCTTCGTATAAGTTAGCCTTCGCACAAATCCTTTTCGATTGAAAGCTGACAATTGACTGAATAATATTTCAGATCTCTCTTAGGTCACGCAATAACAACAACCCCCATTTCAGCAACCTTGTACCACTAAACTGTTGTTTATGTTCGAAATCTTAGTATTAATGTTTATGTTCGAAAACCTTTAGTATTATCAATGTTTGGTTTCAAAAAATAAAATCTTCTCGTTATTAAATATTCACATCAATATAGCGATTTGATTAATGTAATTTAAAGTTATAGTTTTTCTATTAAATTAAATTTATATATATATATATATATATATATATATATAATATTTAATTTAATAAAACTTTGAACTATTTTTAATCTTTCTGTTTCTTTCTCATTTTTTCTCTTTCTATATTAATTCTTTCTTCATTAGAATTTATTTATTTTAAGAAATTTCGAATTTTTTATAAATTTTTCTAAATAAATAATTATATACAATTT